TCTTTGGTCAGTCTACCTGTTCTGTTCCCCACTCTGTCTCTGGTGAATCCTCTCACCACCGCATCTCTGGCCTGTACTCTAGCTCTTGTATGCATCGCATCTCTGGCCTGTACCCCAGCTTTTGTATGCATAAATAAATAAATCTTTAAAAAAAAAAAAAAGAAGCCAGAGGAAAAAGCAAAATTTAATGTCTTTAACTTTGTAATGGGAAAGCTTAACAAACAGAAATCTATTGGAGTTCTGGGTTAATTAAATGCCTAGATATTTAGCTAAGAAATGTAGACAACCTTGGTCCTTTTTTTGTTCTTCACAACAGCACAGATGTACAGGTATGAACTGGAGGACAGCTTCAAAGCCTCTGACTCAGGAACATTTGGAGTGTGGAATGGGACAAAATTGACATATTTCTCTAGTAAATATAGAGAGACAGAAGTAAAGTATCCATTTGCAAGATGGTCTGCTCTTTCCCACTAATCTGTGTGCCTAGAAGATGTATGACATATACTTTCCCTACTTCTGTGCATGTGAATTCATGTCTTTCTTTTGGGTCCTACTTGTCCTTATCAGAAAGAACCACTGAATCAATAGATAAACTTGGTAAGAAGTAAAGGTGCTTACTAGGTTTATTAAGCAAGCAAAGGTTGTGACACAGAAGAGATGTATTAGAAACAGCCCACAGACCTAAACTACTTCTTGTTAAAAATTTCTCTGAATTTACAGAGGAGAGTTTCAAAAACTGTGTGTGTATTTACAGGTTTTCCTTATTTTAACTGCATTTTTAACTGCCCTAAAAAAAATGACTACTCAGGCGGAGAAAGATAAATACTAGTGGTTTTACTTATATGTGGAATATAGAGAAAACAAACAAGGGATCAAACAAAGACATAGTTTAAAACCAACCCTTGAAAGCGGACCATAGATCTGAAGCATCCAGGAGGAACGGAGGAAGAAGAGAGAGAGAAAGAAGGGGGAAGGGTGAATTCAATGGACTACAGTGGAGTACTATGGGTGATTTGGCAGTGGGAAAACCATGGTGACCACAACTGAGGGGAGAAATTCTTTATATGGGGGGGTGGGGAATGAAGTATGTAAAATAACGGTATTTCAATTAAAAAAAAAAAAGTTGGCTACTCAGTAGAAGCCTGGAGTAAATCCAGAGTTCTAGGTTAAAGAGAATTCTGATAGCTAAGCTTTGGAAACAGCCCAAATGCCCAAAAATAGATGACTGGATCAAGAAGATGTGGTACATATACACCATGGAATATTACTCAGCATTCAAAAAGGATAAACACATGCAATTTGCAGCAACATGGATGGTGCTGGAAGAGATCATGCTCAGCGAAATAAGCCAAAAAGAAAAAGTACCGGATGGTCTCACTCATAGCAGGAATCTAGAAAACTTAAATAAGGGACCAGGAAAATGAATAACTATAAGAAAGTAAAAATCAAAATCAACAAAAAACTATGAACCAGAGACACTTTTTGGGGGGTGGGGGGCGGGAGGGGAGGGATTGGGGTCAAAATGGGGGGGTTGCAATTGTATGGGGAATATAAAAATAAAATCTATTATTAAAAAAAAAAAAAGAGAGAATTCTGAAGCCCTAATTTATCAGTCTGGTAAACTGCTGCTCTGTTCAAGACATCTGAAAGCAAGGCAAATCCTTGCCCTAATGATTTGTTAAATACTAGTTCCTTTCTCTAAGATGCCTGCTTGGGTACTATAGCAAAGAAACATGGAGGTCAAGTCTATGGCACATCAAGACAACCAATCGATTCAAAACACATCAGTCAAGCCTGTTAACACAAAGAACAATAAAAAGTTGTCATTTGATTTATTCTTTTTCTAACATGCAGTGTTGAGTTTATAAGGAAGAAGTCAGCCAAGTCAAATGTCAGCATTTTGCAAATCACTGAATCACTTAAAGTCAAGCTTTATCTCCCAATGTGCACACCAGGATACTGAGTAACCTAAGGAAATGAATAACTAAAGAACTACCCAAATTGCATTAGACCAAGGATGGCAAACTCTTCCTAGGAAGGGCCAGATAGTAAATATTTTAGGCTTTGCAAACCATATGGTCTCTGTGGCACCAACTCAATTTTTCCGTTACAGCAAAATCAGCCCCAGACAATATGTAAACGAATGGACGTGGCTGTGTGCCAATAAAAGCTTATTTACAAAAACAGGTGGCAGGACTGATTTGGTGCGCAGGCCATAGTTTGCAGACCCCTGATTGAGACACTTAGAAAACTGTAAGAGCCTATCAAGCAAGAATATCATACCTGTGTCTTTGTAACATTATAGTCAAAGTGTAGGAAAGGATATATCTGAAGGAACTGGGGGGTAACCCTGATTATCCATGGAGATGTCGCCAGAGGGATGGTGTCCTCTTACTACTATCATTACTTATCACAAGACCTGATAACACTTTCCCTACATTTGCTACTTTAATGTTGACCAAAATCTTGCAAGGCAGACACTAGAACCCCCCCATTTTCTGGATTTTTTTTTTTAAGAATGTGAGGTTAATTCACTTATGGAGCCAAATTTCCAAACCAGATCTGTTTCAGTCCATCACTCCTGCTCTTTCTACTGTGAAGCTACTAGTTTGCCTTAAACACAGCTTCTTGTTAGGGTAACTGTTAGTTTTGCACCTCTGCACAGGACCCCAGGACCAACTGCAAAACCCAGGGCAGGAGTCAGCAGGTGCAGTGACTTCTTTATCTAATTGACCAGTCAAGCAAATCTCGAATTTGTGGCTGGGGCATGAAGATTTCCACTTCTGTGTGCCCACAGCTCTAAGCTCATCTTAACCGAACCCCATATTCACAATTATCCCTCAAGCAGGGGTCATGGGCCAGTTAGGGAGGAGGCAACATGTACAAAGTGAATGTTTTCTTAACCCTTTCCAGAACTTCAGAGTACAGTCATTTCAGCTCATACCTCAAGGGTGTTTTCTGAAAAAAGAAAGTGCCTGTTCAGCACTCTTGGTGTCTTATTTCAAACCCTGCCCTTCCATCGGGCGATTCTAAGTGGGCTGAATATGCTGCACAGTTTTTACTTATTTTCCCACAGAGTTTAGTCACCCAGGTGCCCTTAGTGGCACAGTTTGATCTGGGGTAAGGGGATAGGACCAGTGCAGAGTCTTTCCCTAATTTCCCTTAAGATGCCAAAGGACAATTCAAGAGAATCTGGATTTGTCTGCACACGTAGAGCATAGAGTTGTTCTCCCTAATGGTGGAGTTTTACTGCTCCTGACTGAGATCCAGGATGTGAGCTAGAAACATGCCTCTCACATCCCCTTTTTGAAAAATGGCTAGTCTCTTAGGAGGAATTAAAGAAGAAAAAAATGTAGTGCATGACCAAGAAGAGAGACTATAACAGCTCATGCATGCAGGGCAGTAACCTCCCTCTCAAGCCCTGAGCAAAAACAGAGCAATCAACATCACTTCGGTGGCATCTTAGCTACTAAAGGTACCTCTACAAAACAGGGATCATTTTTACTTCATTTTACATAAGAGAAACCTAAGGATTAAAAGGCAGGGAGGAGGCCATGACTTGCTCTGAGTAGGTAGGGACCAAAGCAGAAGTTCCTCTGGAAGCTCACAAGACCCCCTGACTCAGCTCTAAGTGTACAGGCCCTCAGATCTCCACAGAAGTCAATACCTTCCTGCCAATCTTGCTCCTTGAGGGCTGGCACTGTCCCCCTGTGATTTAGCGTCTTGCTCTATCCTTCAGGAAGCAGTGCAAGTCACCCACACTAGAATCTCTTTAATTATCTTGGAAGGACTGTGCAACTCTCAAGTTCAAATTAAAGTTCATTTGTTTTGACTAAAAGAAGAAATTGCATTTTTCCACAATCAAACCATGATGAGACTTCATAATCTGAGAAACTGTGAAATCACTCCTCTGCTTTCCACATTAACAAGCTCAATTTTGGAAAATTTACACAAGAAATAAAGGAAACACTGAAATGGTGATAGAGTAACTCTAAGTTGTGTTCTAATCAATGAAGATATATTTTCACAACTTTGAGGGCTCCAATAAAATATCTTCTTGTAAGATAAATAAACCTTCTCTTGTTTAGTTTTTTTTTTTTTTTTTTTTTTTTTTTGGTAAGTGTAGATTTTCTTGTCATAAGTTTGCTTAAAGTAACTCAACTCATTAAAAAGCACTTTAAAGAAGATAGGACAAATTTTTGGTAATACTTCTTCCTTGAGGAAGTACAGAGCTGAGCCTCAATAAGGTTTGACTCTCATGAGGCTGTTGAGTTGACTTTGTTATGTCAAGCAAGGAATGTTGTAGGATTATTAATAACATGAGTTTGTTCAGTTGACATAATGGAAAATAACGTTCTCTGGTGTTCCATCCAACTTCAGGAATGAACACTAGGCTTACAAACAAACCTCCTGCCCCCTTGCACCCAGAAGCTTTAGCTCCAAATGGGAAGATAATGACAAGAGATGAGGCACTGAAGCGAGTGAAGACCTCCTTGACAAAGCCAAGTTACTGTGTTATTCCAACACACTCACAGAAACAATCACCCCTCTGGCAGAAAGTTAAGTAACGAATGCAGGGAGAAACAGACCACGAACAGGACCACAGGCTGAAGGCAGGCTTGTAAAAATAAAGCCACTCGTATAAAGAAGTCCATGGCTTTCCCCTTGCTGGCCCCAAACCAGTAGAGTGCTTGGCTTTTTGTTTTGTGAATCATACACTGCCCTTTCTCCACCCAGTGATTCATGCCCACAGCAGAGACACGATGAGCTGTCCCACCTTGGAACACTAGTTCGTTCCCTCCAGCCTGGAAAATCAGCATCAGCTCTGACAGGTTGGTTTCTCCACCAGGCTCCTTCTCGCCCACCTTGTCCCTCCCCACACCCCTGCCTGGGAGCCCAATCTCCTGTGAACCCCACCACCACCACTCGTCTCCAGTCAAACACTCACTGATGAACTCCCGGGCTTACATGACGCTGAAAGCCACGGTCGAACCACTTACGTTTTTGCCAAAGCATGGCCTGTGACAGGATGTTGCCTTTTCTCTTTGAAGCAGACAGTTTGGCTTCTTTAATGTGAGACCTGGGTGCGCTTTCCTCCAGGGGAGCCACTGCTTGAACAAAGGTTGTTTCCTCAGCTTTTTAAAGCCCCAAGTTCCCGCTGCGCGGGGGCATAGCGTCATCACATCCTCCCACCTCAGGCACTGGTGCACTTTTTCTTCAGCAAAGCTGCCTGACACCCCACTGTGTGCACCCTCAGAGGCCCACCAGCTGCAGACACTTCGCTCACAGAGCCAACCAGCTGGATCCAAACACCTCAGCACAGGAGGCTGTAGCACTCACAGGGTGTGTGGTGTGATGTGTGGTGAGTAGGACAGTGTGTATGAGTGTGAACTGTGTGCGTATGTGTGTCAAGCCGTGTACCTGCCCGCTGCCAATGATGAGCCCAAAAGACTCCTGGAAAACTCTGGGTTTTCTATGGTGCCCATTCAGGCTCCTTCACTGCCAGGACGTTAGCAGGACTCAGTCACCATGGGCCCCCCTCAACGGGAAATGCAATTCCCATGGGTCACTGGTTCTCAACACAGAAGGAAACACCTGTGTAGTCTCTTCAAGCTTCACTAAGCCACCTCCTTGTTCTTATAATATTGCTTTTCTGTTTATTCCATTTTGAAACACAATAGCCCCTCCCCTTGTCCCCCCCCAAAATAACAAAGTAACCACCAAAATGACAACGCTTAATCATGTTTAAATATGGGAGCACTAGTTCTGGTGGTCCATATGCCCACAGAGAAGGAGGCCAACTCATTCAGAGAGGGAAGGACACTGCTCTTCAGCTAGAAATGATCACTTAAAGGGGACATGCAGCATGAGATGAACAGGGTCTCTCTCCTAGTGCCCACCCACCTGTTAATATGAGCCTTCTCAAAGGAAATGTAATGGGGTTCCCACCTGATAGTATACACGGGTGTCAGACCACAGTCTCCTCCCCAATTTGAAAGTCTTCTATCACTGTGAATCTGATGTCCACACATTCAAGCCCCAGTTACCCAACCAATTTGGGTTCAAGGCCCCCTTAGGCCAAGTCTGGGACCTTACAGCTCTGCCCTCAGAGTCATCTTACACAGCCTAGTTCAAATCATGTCATTCTCCAGCTTAAAAGGTCTTTCTTGCTCCCCTCACCCATATAAGGTAGAAGCATATAAGGCCCTCACCAGCTCACTCTTGTTTACCTTTGCAGCCTCATCACCTGCCACCCCAAACCATACCAGATCCTCAGGGCCTTCTAAGCACCACTCTGCACATCTATGCAATTTCCTGCCATTGACCTTGCTGTCCTCTCCTGCTGGGTTCTTTCCCAATCCCTCACCTGAAAATCACCCCCTCATTTCTCAAGATCCAGCTTTAGTAGTACATTTTTAGGTGAAAAGTGTCCTGACCCATGAAGCTTCTTTGCCAGGGAAATACTAGCTCCTTCTTTTTCAGCTCCTGAAACACTTTGTCTATTTATGCCTTGACAGTAAGTTGTTGCATGGTTGTAGAGGCTCCTCAAGGAGGTTTTATCTTTGTCTCTCAAAATGTCAACCACTTGCTGAGAAAGTATTTTCTGTGACTCAAAATCAAAAGTCAGACTACCTGGCAGAGTTCAAAAGAAGAAAAGGTGTCTTTATTAAAAATTTCACTATTTCAAGAAGGAAAAGAATATCTCCAAAAATAGGTGTGCTCACATTTTTGAAAAATTTGATAAACCAAAATGAAATCTCCTAAAATAATTCAGTAAAAGACACTCTTCCAATTTGAAAAAGAACTCTTAACTTTGCAAAAAGGATCCACCACAGACATCTCTTCTTTCATTCAATAAGCACGTGATAAGTGCTCCTTATTTGCCATCACCCCCTACCAGGCCCTTTTCATCTGGGCTTTAATCATCCTCTTCAAGCTTGGCACTTTATCATTGTTCCATGAATGGCCACTCTCTTATTAACTTATTCATTCATATATTTGTTCATTAATTCATTCATCCATTCACTTTCCTCTCCATCTTCCATGCCTTTTCTTCTTCCTGCCTTTCCACCTCTATTATACACCCACCATTCCAGTCAAAGCAACAGGGTAAAGTCAATCCTCTAATTTTAGATATTTGTACCTATTCTTGCTTGTAGAATGCATACTGTTTTGCACGCATGGATTTTTAGTTCATCTAAGTAGTGTTGCAGTATAGAGTTCATGCCATCCCTTATCTTTAAATTCAGCACTATACTATAAGGTCCATTCAGATTGCTATTCCCTTCTAATGACTTGAACATATCCCATCCATGAAACAAAAGCACAGCATTTTACATAACCAGATTGTCTCCACAGACAAGAAATATATGAAGATTCTGATGTACAACTCTTACAGAGGCATCTGAAAATTCCTTGGGGTTATATGCCCAGATGTAGAATTACTAGGTCAAAGAATATGCATATATAAGTTGACTACAGGCAACCAGAGAACTCTCCAGAACTTTCAACAGCAGTTCATAAAGTTTCACACATTTCCACTTCACTACAGAGCTTGGCATCATCCAGCTTCTAAATCTTTGCCAACATAATAGATGTAGTATAGTTTATAATTATTTTATTTTACCAATAGTAATAAATGTAAGCATCTCTTCATATGCTTAACCTTTTAGATTTTTTTCTTCTCTAAAATAACAATTTCTTTGCCAGTTCTCTACTGGGGTTACTGTTTCTTGTTAATTAGCAGGAGTTCATATATTCTACATGTATAATACTAGATAATATGAGTTTTATTCACAACAAATGTCTTCTAATCTGTCATTTGTTGATTTTATCTCTGGTGTCCTATTTTGAACACAAGTAATTATATACAAGGGTCTGTCTTGGAACTGTATTTCATTGATCTCATTGTCCATTCTTGTATTGACACTTTACAGTTTTCATTACTATTTGTTATAGTAAATCTTAACATTTATGAAAAAATTATCAAGTTTCTCCAAAATATCCAACTGAAATTTTTATCGGTTGTTCATTAAATTAGTGGATTTCTTTAAAAGGATGATTGATATCATTAAGACTAATTTACCCTAGCTAAGCATGGAATAGCTCTCCCACTTTGGGCTAATATTCCATTTTCTTTATTATATTTTAAAATTTTCTCCATGAAAAATCTAAGGTATCCTTAATGTTAATTTTTATTTGTTTTATAGTTTCCACTGATACTGTGAATGGCTTTTTACTTTCTTTTATATTTTCTAATTGGTTACTAATGTTACAGAAAATTATAATATTTGAGTTTGACTTATTTCTAGCAATCTTGCTTTACTCTCTTATTACTGCTAATAGTTTGTTGATTCTGTTGGTCTTTTTAGGTAGATAATTATTTCCTCTAAAAATAACAGCAGTTTTATCTTTCCTTCCAATCCTTACACCTTTATTTCTTTCCTTTTCTCCCAGTATTAGCCAGTACTATGATAAACAGCAATGGCTCTAATGGTTATTCTTGTCTGGTCTAGGTCTGGGAGATATGATAAAGACAAATTTCTAAAGTTAAGGAAAAATGATAAAAGATCTCAGAATGAAAGGGTTCATGGACAGCAGAACAATAGAGGTAAGGAAAAAGGAACATCTATAACACAATTTAAAAACAACTAATACAAAGAGGAAATTCTAAAAAGCTACTGAGAAAAAGAATATATTAACCAAGGAAAAAGATCATATTTACAGTGTACTTCTCAATGGCTAAACCAGATGCAGACAATGAAGAGATATGTTTAACGTATTTAAAGAACATGTAATCTAAATTTTACATCCAGAAAACTATCATTTAAATATTGTAGCATAGCAAAAACATCCTCAGCCATATAAGTCTTCACATTAAATTTGCTCTTGGATGAAGCATTGAAATAAAAAAGGCAACCTGAGAGAAAACCAAGGGAAAGTTTTTTACAGAAATTTTCTCTAAGCTGGAAAGAAGGTAAAATACAAGGCATCCCCAGAGGCCTAGGAGTTAAATGTCAGTGCCATCAAGTGGTCGTGAGCCACTGCAGCATGAGTTCGATCCCCTGCCAGGGAGCTGCAGACCTCTCCTGTCTTGCCCACTGCTCCCCTCAGCAGTGTGTTTCAGTAGATCCACCTGTTCTGCTCACCACTCTGTCTCTGAGGCATCCTCTCACCACCCCCAGCTCTGGCCTATACCCCAGTTCTTCTATGCAAACACAAATAAATAAAATCTTTTTTTTAAAAAAAAAAAAAGGCGGGGGGGGGAGAAAAAAACACATCTATACCAACCCAGAACAAAATATCTAGAAAATATCATGATTGTACAAGTCCTGGGAACACCATTCATATTAGACTCCATTTAACTTGTAGGGGCATATAATGTGTGATCTCCTGGAGGGGCTCAATGGGAAATTAAAATGTGTTAATGCCTCAACTTATAAGTGGGAAAATACAGCTTTGGATAAGTTTAAAATTTTGATTAGGGAAAGTAAACATTAGTACCAATCTGAAGGAAGATGCAACTGTCACTTTGGTTCTTACTGTAAGAACAGAAATAGAATATTTAGTTCTTAAACCAGCTGCAGAAAACTGAACCTTTCTTTTTTAATTTTATTTATATTTTACACCATTCTTCCTTTTTGTACAGTGCATGCTTTCTTCTCTCATGTATAGTCCCTGTAAAACTCCCACCATCAATTCACCCATGCACCATCAATAGTCCCTTGTGCTCTTCAGTCCCCTGTTTTGATCCCTATCCCTCCCCCTCCTCTACAGAGGGTCTCTGATTAAAAATTTCCTGTTAATTTTGTTTTTTTAATTTATTATAATTATTTTTTTTCCTGATCCCTTATTTGGTTCCCCTACATTCCTCCTATAAGTGAAACCATCCAATATTTTTCTTTTTCCTTCTGGCTTATTTCACTGAGCATAATCCCTTCCAGCTCCATCCATGTTGCTGCAAATTGCATGAGTTTATCTTTTTTGATTGCTGAGTAATATTCCATGGTGTATATGTACCACATCTTCTTGATCCAGTCATCTGTTTTTGGGCATTTGGGTTGTTTCCATATCTTACTTATTGTAAATAGTGCTGCAATAAATAAAC